ATAGCACTTTTTCTGATCGTGCAATGGTAATAGTTGAAATTAATTTCTTAAAAGCTTGGAAATTTGGCAGAAGTAATGGAGGATGAGAAAATTTATATAGGTAAGAGAAGGCTTTGAAAATGGTGAGGAATGGTCAAGGGGAGAGAAACCCAGCTCTCATTTCAAGCTGTCAGAGAGGATTGGTACAGACGAAAAAACAATTTGAAGAAAGCTCTCAAGGAAAGAAATGAAGCCAAATGCTCTGAAGAGAAAAATAGATATTTTCAATTTTAGAACAAACTAATGGAGAGCACAGAAAAAGAATAAAGAAATTAAAACAGAAACAGGGAAAATCAAAGACCAAATGACAAATGCCTGCAATAGACTGAGTCAGGGTAATACAGGGAAGCAAGAAAGGCAAGTAAGGCTGTTGACATTTTTTCACGTGCAGGAAGAGAAGAAGGTTGCCATGTGTTTAAAAGATTAGAAACAGATAGGTTAAGATGACTTGAGGTCAGTTATGAGGGTTCTTTATGGACTATAATGCAAGAAAAGATATAAGCTAATACTGGGGTATGCAAAACCAAGCAGAAAATGAAAGAGTGACTCAGCAACAGCCTTCACAGCTTAAAATGTGAGTGAACACCATGAACAAGGTGTTGATAAGAAAATCTGGATCTACGGCCCTTAGGGATACAGCACAGTGGTAAATCTACCAGCTTTAGGGTAGGAGATGGGTTTTAGTCCCACTTGTAGTACTTAACCAGCTGTGCGACTGTGGGCAAATCCTTTTAGTTTCCAGATCCTTGATGCTTTCATCTGTAAAGTGAAATCACATTGCTGCAAAGCTCAAATAAGGCAATATTTATAAAACTATCTTGAACAAAATTTAGATATTATTATTCCAAGACTTTTTTTTGGGTGGGCTGAGCAAATATCTATTTGTGGGTTCCTATGGTATATGGGATAAGAAGAAAATGACCATTATTATAAAACAAAGCAGATGAATAATATTTAAGCAAAGAAAAACTTAGAGGCTGAAAATCACTGACATTTCTAAACAATGTTTTAAAAAATCTTCCTAATAAGGCTCATGGAATTCCTAATAACGATTCATGATGCATGAGACACATTTAAAGGATGTCTAAATGAGTGACAGGTGGTCGGTGAACTTCAGAGATCCTGCAAGAAGCCAGAGGATAATTATTTACATAGAAAGTTTTTTTGAAAATAATGCAATTTAAAAATTATTTTTAATTTTAATTGACACATAATAATTGTACATATTTATAGGGTACAGAGTGATATTTTGGTACATATATACAATGTGTGATGATGAAATCAGGGTAATTAGCATACGCAACACCTCAAACACTTATCATTTCTTGTGGTGAGAACCTTCATAATCCTCTCTTATAGCTATTTGGAGAAAAATGTAGTTTTATATACCATACAAAGCTATTCCGGATCAGAGAAGGGGCCGTAGTACATGAATAAAACACAGCTACGTGCCTTTGAACCCTATGCCCTCCATATCTCTCTGTGTTCATTGAGTGTTAGAAAAGAAATGAAGGATATTGAGGGTGAGATCACCTTACCCGTGAGGCCCCTTATTACATCTGTACTAAAGACCTGCTTCTGAGAAGATTTATGTTGAATGTGAATGAACGTGCATGTAAAAATACAAAAAGGAAGGGGTATTCTATGATGTAGATCATTTCCAACTCCAGTTGCCACAGGGTTCAGGTACACATCAGCTCTCAGATTATTGTCATAGCCTCTTAATTGACCGTATGTTCAATCTTATACCACTTTAGTGAATTCTTCACATTTGCTTGTGAAGTGCTCTTTCTAAAACACAATTCTGAATATTTTACTGGCTTGCTAAAAAATCTTTGCTGGTTACCCGCAACCCATTGCAGGAGTCAGCAAAGTTTTTCTGTAAAAAGGGCCACATAGTAAATATTTTAGGCATTGTGGGACACACACAGTCTTTGTAGAATATTAGAATATTATTCTTGGCTTTTAAAAAAAATAACCCTTAAAAATTTAAAGGCCATTCTTAGCTTTTGGGCTTTACAAGCCAAGGGCTGGATTTGGCCTTTCAGGCTGTGGTTTGTTGACCTATGCAATAAATAAAGTGCAAGCACCTTAATATAGCATAGCAGTCTCCCCATAATCTGGCCTACTGCTTTTCCCCCAAGTCTTATATACTGCCACAAACACGTCCCACACCCTCAGCTGCAATTATGTTGAATTGTTGGCAGTGTCTGGAAGTACACAAAGCTGGGTTTCATACCTCTGTACTTGTTCACATTGCATCCACTAAAATTGTCTTCTCTTATCCAACTGGGAAATTCTATCTCAAGACTCTACTAAAAGTGTCATCTCTTCTATTAAATATTTCCTGACTGGCTGGTGAGAACTGGTCTCTGTACTTTATACAAATGTGGATCCTAGTATCTGCAGTACTTCACTGTGCTTATTTGCTCCCCAACACCAATGTGAGCCTCTCAAAGGCAGAAAATATCTCATTTGTATTTGCATCCTTACCACATAGTAGACACCTAGTAAATGTTTGTGGAATGGTTGGCGCCAGGTATATTGTTATCAAGTCATCCAACACCAGCAATAGTATAAAAAGAAATGAAGAGAGGATCAGTAGTCCTCTGAATTGTGGGTGACCCATACACAGAAGAAAGTTACTACTCTTGTAGTTTTTAGAGAAACTCTGAGTCTCACTCTTATACCTTGCTATGAGATTTCCTCATACACCCACTAGGGCATGAAGGTGGTAGCAAAGACCCTCATGGTGGATTTTTTTTTAGCATCATTCCCACCTACCAGTGCCTGTGTTTTTAGAATCCTACATGGGGACTCAAAGCCTATCTTCCAATAACATACTTTAAAAAATGGTCCTAGGACTCTTAGTATTATTAGTGATAGAATGATGACCTAAATAGGTGTTGGTAAACTGCCCTTGGAATGTAGCCACCCTCTCTCAGTGGGGAAAACGTGCTCTGAGTTCCAAGCTGATGACTTATGAGTTAGTTTCTGGACATAACTCATTCCTAAGTTTGGGGCTGTCTCTACTTAAAATATATCAAGCATAGGTCAGAAGCACTGGAATAGGAGTCAACCAGATTAAGAGCAAAGCCATAAAAATGAGAGCTAGAGGGAAATATGATATTATTGTGTTTCTAAAATTACAAAATGGTCTAGTGAGGTTCCTCATTGTACACTCTGGTAGGGAAGATGCATAACGGACATAAATTTTAGAAAACCAAAAACGGGTGTATTTGGAAGCTTTTAGAAAATAGCAATAGTATCTAATACTTATTGAGTGCTTACTGTGTGCCAGGAACTGTTCTAAGCACTTTTCATGGACTATATATTTAATCCTCCCAACAACACTATAAGAAGGGTACTATGATTATCTTTATTTTACGGATGGGGAAAGTGGTGCACAGAGAAGTTAAGTAATTTGCCCAAGATGTCATAGCTAGTAAATGAAGAGCTTGAATTTGAATCCAAGTTTTCTGATTCCACTGCTCACAATCCAAGCAACTTCTGCTTATACACATGGCACTACCCACAAAGTGCAGTGTGGAACCGATAGGGGATTTTTCCTGGGCCTCTTAATACCTAGAAAAACTGGTTCAGAAGAAAATCCATAATGAAGGAGGGTCAGACTGGATCGATGGAGAATTATTACTTTCCAATGATTTTGCTTCTTGATCTTTGGGCATCAAATCATAACAATTGGGGAGTAAGCATCACACTCAATTTGCCCATGGTAGTGGCAAAAAACTTAGGGGAAGAGGCCATTTTGTATGTAGGTGTTTTTTTTTTTTTAAATCCAGAAAAGATTAACCTTCAGAAAGAAAGTGAAGAAAAAATCCAAGTGTAGAAAATATTGTACCAGAGAACCATCCACCCAAGAAAAGCTGTGGGTGGAAAGGAAATTTTAGAAACAAGACATATCTACTTTCTGAATGTGCTATGGCAGAAGAATTCTGGAGTCAGTCGGTCAAAGTCAAGATGAGAAAAAGAATCAACAAGTTATCATGATACAAGGTGTATAATAAATGTTGGCTGGCAACAATAGAAAGTGCAGATATTATCTTATTAAATGGGGGAAAGGAAAAAAAATCACAATCTTGGCCTTTGGAAGAGCAGAAATGCTAAAGCTTATAAATGCGTATGAGAAGTGGGAGTTGAAATGGCCAGAGTGTTGCTAAAGCACATCATGGAAGAGAAGGCAAAAGAATAACAATTTCAGTTTAGACATTTTTATAAGAAATTGATATGATGGAAATTTAATATTTGTAGAAACAATGTTGGTTGAGGCAAGATTTATTAATATTTATAATATGTAATATACTTTAAAATAAAAATTATAAGTATAAACTAGAATAATTTATTTAAAAGCATTTATTAGAAGATCAAGTGCTTTACATAAAAAAGATACTTCTTGAGTGAGAAATTATCATCCAAATCTGGGAATCAAGGGGCCATTTGTCCATTAGGTTCAAATTGGGGCAGACCCCTGTAAAATGTGACAGGAGGAGCAAGTGCTGTGCTATGATTATGTAACCACTGTCCTTGTATATGAATTTTGTCTACCTTGTGTGGCAAGTACAAAGACGATGTTTGATTACAAAAAACCTGTAGCTAGTACCCTAGAAAAGAAGCTGTTCTTGATGGGCTACTATGGCTGTTGCACCCGCCTTCATATACCTACTACTATTTTTCTCTCTGTACTATTGTGGGCATATTCATGGCTTTAGGTCTTAATGTGGCTTGGCAAAATATTAATATTCTTAGTAAGTTTGTTAATAAGTGCCTAGTGGTGTCCATGGAGAGAATGCTCATTAAGATTTTTGTTGTTTTTGTCTGTTTTAAAAAAATATAAGTTGAAATAATGGGTCAGGTTTACATTGTTTTTCTGCACATTGGAGAAGTTTAAAGAGAACCACTAAAATTTTTCTATTTTTTTTTTGTTAACTTCCTAAGTGTACCTTTTACATCCTTATTTCTCAGGGTGTAAGTGAGGGAATTTAACACTGGAGTAACTGCTCTATAAAATATTGAAAAGACTTTGTCCTCTTCCTGGGATTCCCTTGACTGAGGTTTCAAGCACATGTAGATGGCTGTCCCATAAAATATGGTGATGACAGCTGGGTGGGATCCACAGGTGGAAAAGCTTTGAGCCTGGTCTCTGCAGAGCGGATCCTCAGCACAGCAACCACAATGTGAGTATAGGAGATGAGGATGAAGGTGAGGGGCAGGGGCAGTGTGAATATGCTGATGGCTAGACCCAGAAGAAGTCTGACTGGGGTGTCTGAGCAAACGAGCTTCAACAGGGCCTGCACCTCACAGGTAAAATGGTTGATGACATTGTGTCCACAAAAATGGGCAGGAAATGCAATGGTTGGTATTATTGCCAAAGGGAGGACACTGGCCCAGGTCACCATGGCCAACTGTATGCAAACCTGATTGTTCATAATGATGGTATAATGCAGGGGACTGGAGATTGCAGCAAACCTGTCATAAGCCATGACAGCAAGGAGGAGCCACTCTGTCATCCCCAGAAAAAGGGATATGGCCATCTGGGCATAACAGCTTCTATAGGAGATGGTAGGGAAGTCCTTGAAGCATTGGGCCATGACATATGACTCCCAGCTGGTGGAGAAACAGATATCAAGGAAGGATAAGTTACTGAGAAAAAGATACACGGGCGTATGAAGTTGAGAATCCCATTTCACTACTATGACAATAAGGCTGTTCCCAGACATTGTGACCAGGTAGGAAAACAGCAGTGCCAGGAAGAAGGCAGCCTAGATTTGAGAGTGTTGAGAAAATCCAACAAGGATGAATTCAGTCATGTCCAAGGCATTGTCTGTCTTTAGACTACCCATTTACTTATCTCAAGTGCTGGGAAAGGAGTCAAAACATAATGTCACCAACATGAAGAAATAAGAGGAAGCGCATCTTAATAGCCTGTTACAATTTATGTTCTGGAGCTCTAGCTAATTATTGTGTGTCATTTGTTTTACTGGGTTAGGCTCAGCTATTCAAGCATCCAGTGGTGGCAATATGCTTTCTCTGTGCTTCTCTGTCTTATAGTCTGGACTATAAGAGCCCAAATAAAGGTGCAGCCATGTATAGCTTAAAGACTGGGATACATTCTGAGAAATGTGTTGCTAGGTGATATTGTCGTGTGAAAGTGTATCATGAAAGGGAACAGCAATGAATTTTCCTATTATCTACACTGGCCAGTAGCTGCATAAACATGAGCCCTCACATTATGTTACGAAGTCTCTCTGTGCCTCGCTTCCCTCATCTGTTAAATGGGGATTAGAATAATACCACTGCCATAAAGTTATGAAAATTAAATTATGGGTAAGGATTGTGCCTAGCATTCAGCAAGAACTCAGTGAGTGTTAGCTAACTGTTATTATTAACTATTATTTTGCTACGGAGATGGGTGGAAATAATTTAAAAATTCAAGAATTCTTGAGAATTATAGACAACAACCCTTTCAGTAATGAATCAAATGCTTGGCTTTCTATCTTAAAAGTTTCAGCTACCTTTGGGAGGGTCACCCACTGGTCTATGTACACCAGCATCACCACAAACACATGAGTTGTGCTATCACATGACATCACTAGGTGACAGGAATTTTTCAGCTCCATTATAATTTTATGAGATCACTGTCCATATGTGGTCCGTCATTGACCCAAACATTGTTATCTGGTTCATGACTGTACTTATATCTGATCAGGTAAGACAATCATTAACATTGAATCAAACAGAATTATAACTCTTATAAAGGGGCATAGCTAGATGATTGACTTAACCCTTGACCAAAAAAAGAGGCGTATGTTACATCTCCCCACCAAAAATATGTTGGTAGCAGTGCTTCAGTTGATTCGCTAATTGAAAAATATATTTAAAATTTAAACCCAAGGATCCAGTGCTTGAAATACTTCTTTTACTTTTCAACCTTTTTTGTTGTTCTTATTTGTAGTATTAAAACCACAAACCATCTATGGATGGTAAATTAGAAAGTGTATAGGTAGCTAAAGCAATCAGTCAATTCAAAGGAAAAACACCACCAGCCAAAATGACTTGAAATAAACCAAGCAACTGGTGAATTTACTGAAATCTCATTCTTTGTTCAATTGTTCTGACATCTATCTCCAATTGACATAAGCTTACTTCGTGCATATCTTGCCATCTGCATACGGCTTCAAATAAGACTTTTAAGGGTGATGGGAAAATCTTATTAGATAAAAGGATTTCATGAAAATGACAGTTCCCAGAAATTGTGAAGAGGGACAAGAAATTTTGTATGCATGTTTCCAGAAGTGTGACAAAAGAAAAAATAAGACAGAGCCCTGTCAGTGTTGCATGATTTCAGCAAAGAGTGAAAGAGATGACCAGTTGAAGTCTCTTTTGGCTTTAAAATTTTATTTAGACACAGCATCAATTTCTCCACACTGTATAGTTATATTAGTGCTGTATATAATTGGATAATTCTTCATACCCAAATGGCAGAATGTTGAAATACCAAAAGCAAGCAAGGGAGCCAGCTGGATCTGAGCCTAAATTCTGGTTCAGCCACTAGTAAACTGCATGATCTTGAAAGAGTGAGCTTCCTCATATGTGAGATGGGAATATCACCTAGGCCCTTGCAGAATTGCTCCAAGAAAGAGATGAGAGAATTTCTATAAAGAGCCTAGCACAGTGCCTGGCCCATTTATAGCCACCCAAGATACTGCAGTTCCCTATCTGCTTTCACGGCCCATGTAGACCTTCCCTTCAGCTTGGATTTCATCCTTGTAAACGTGTGCCAAAATGTTATTTCATCCTACCTTCCCTTGTGAGATTACCACATTACCAGAAACAACAAAATCTGAAGTTTTAGGTTTGAGTAACAACTAGGGAAAGTTTGACTGTGTAAGTCATTAAAATTTGTTCCTGATGGTAGGCGGGAAAGACACATAAAGAGATGAAAATTACTCACTGACTTAGGGCTGGAGGACAGCAACAGAGAAGTGCACCTCATTCATAACAGAAGCATTTTGCAGTTGGCGACACCCCCACAAATGACTAATCTCCAAGAAGAAATTTGATTCCTTCAACTGCAAGGAAAAGAAGTTTAATACAAGCAGCTGTGGTAATAAATCTTCCTATCAGTTGTGGTTATAAGTCTGGAAAATCTTGAGTTAACTGTGCTGGTGAATCATGCACATTTATTTCTACTTGTTTAAATATCTTTTATTTACACAGAGGTGGTTTGTAATAAGGCTGGCATGAAAGGTTGGTGTCCAAAAAACAATAAAAAATTTCATTTTCTAGCATACATAATAATAATATAGATGCCAGTTCATGACATGCAGTTTTTCTTTGCTGGCATAAATATTAAAATGATATTTCTTCTTGTAGTGTCCAAAATTCTGTTACTTTGTTTCCAGCCACAGAAAAATAAATTGAGATGTACTTTTATGAATAAGTTGATATACTTTTAAAATATTGGTGTTTGCCAAAGTACGCTCTACTTATAGACCAAAAATATTTAAGTAGACTTAAAAGAAGGCACAATTCAAATGCAAGACAGAGCTTTAAAATTTGGATAATCTTGTGTTGGTTTAAGAATTGATAACCTCAGTCTTGAAGAAAACTTTCTACTTTGGGGACTTATGGGGTGTCCCTGCTTTGCAAGTAAGTCTTCCAGTACAAATGGGGTAGAGAAAACAAAGTAGGAGAAGAAGACATCTGCTATATTTAGCTCACTAAAATAAAGTTCATTTTCCTTCTAACTTGGTTAATGAAAATTTCAGTGAATGTTCCTCATAGCAGTGATTCTGGTGGGAAACAAAGGCTGGTCTTCCTCAAAAAGAGACTTTCTTCTGTCTGGGCAGTTCTTCATTCATTCACTTTATTTTATTTATTTATTTTTATTGAAACATAATTGATTGTACATATCTGTGAGGCTCAGCATTGAAATATCAATCCCTGTGTGCAATATGTGATCCTCAAATCAGGATAATTAGTATATTCAACTTTACACGTTGTAATCATTTTTTTGTGGACTCTTACCAATTTCTCACTAAACCCTCCTTCCCCCTTTCCTACCTCTGTTGGCCTCAGTCTGTCATTCACTTTATTTTCTGCTAGCACATTAAAAGTTCAAGTAGTTATTGTCTTTTTCTTTTTCTATTTTTTTTGTTATTTTTTATTTTTCAAGTAGTTCTATGAAGAATTAATATTGAGGGATTTTGGTGACCAAGATGTACACCATAGTATGACTGTGTAACAACTTCTGTGTCTGCTGGGTCCTCTGAATGATATGCTATGTTGATCAATCAGGGTCTCTCCTAAGTGTGATTGTGAGTTCAACAAAGATTCGATGAAGTTTTATTCTTATTTATTTATTTTAACTTGAGGGACTTTAGATCTCATATAATGGAAGTTAGGCTGAGTGTATACTTTGGGGGCTATAAGCCCCTGAATTTTGCAACCAAATCTGTGGCCATCTCTGTTTTCTCTGGCACTCTAACTTGCACAGAGGAAACTCTTAAATTATTTGCTGAAATAAAAGATCTTGATGTCACTTTGACTAAATGTTTTCTTCCATTCACGTATTTTTATGCTACATTTAATCAAACTTTCTATCTTTGGCCATCTGACTCTGAATAACTTTTTTTCCCTGAAGATTTTGATCTTTGCTTTATTGGTACAAAAAATGTGTTGACTGATAGAGCAGTACTCTGTTGAAAGACAACAGTAGAGGAGGACTTTCAGCCGGATAGTCACTTCACATTAGACTTTTAAGGTTCACTCCTCAAAACCATACCATAGATGGTTGGTGGTAAGGTTTTACCTTCTTTGTGGTTCTGTCCTAGGGACTTTCTCACCCTGTATGTTAAAAATATATTACACCTCCATGGAAACTGACAAAATATGAAAGAGAATAAGATGGTGAACATTTGCAGGAGCATACAAATTGGGAGAAATTGCAGTGCCATCAAGGAAATATTTCGCGGAAGACATGGTTGATGCTTCTCTAATGAAGATTACAGAACTGGCATAGAGGCAAGCTACAGTAGGAACGAAAGGCTTCAGTTGTCCAGGGATCTGACAGAAGTCTCATTCTACTAAAAGCAGGGCATCTGATAAATTCAGGATTTGCCTTGCTGACGATTTCATTTCTCAGAAGCTTAAAGAAGCATTGAGTGGAAATGATGCCACGGATTTAATTATGATAGAATGGACCAGAATCTTGGGAGAAAATAACCATATCAGCTGGGAGTTCATAATAGAAAGAAACTCTATAGTCAACATTTCTAAAAGGTTATGAGACCATAGATATTTTTTCTCTGAATCTTTTTTTTTTTTTTTTTTGTCTTTTTGTCTTTTTTCCGTGTCCGGCAACG